AAGCTTGAATAAAAACTTGAAAATGTGGGTTTTAAGTGAAACCAGTTCAGAATTAAGCTTTAAAGTTAAGACCTTAACTTTAAAAATAGAAGGAAGGTTACTGTTGGCATAAATATCTACCTTTCTTTCTCTGGTTTATCTTTTGTAAAATCTCAATCACAACATGTATTATTATGAACCCCTCCATGTGGATAACCCCTTGTCACGGTGGTGGGTGGGTGTTCTGTTAAGGTTGAGCATTATTCTGGAGGTATACCACCTGAAAGTATACCCAAGCCAGGGTCTCAACTGAGGAGCCAGACTTAGAGCACCCACAAACCCATTAACCACGATGAGGCATCAGAAAAGAAATTCCATACCAGATCGGTCATTGCCCAGGTTAACCAGCACTGCGGCAATTGCTGTACCAGGCTTGCTGTCAAAAAATGAGTTACAGGGTTGGAGAAAGACCTGACAAATTAGTCTGTGAAAAACTCACCAAGAAAATGTTATAGAAAGGGTCTTAAACATGTCAGCTAGGGTGCCCAATGATAGGAAAACAGGAATCCCAGTTGCTGAGGTAACCAGTGGCATTAACAAAGCAGTTAAGACTTATATACCGCTTCACAGTACTTTACAGCCCTCTCTAAGCAGTTTACAGAGGCAGCATACTGCCCACTAACAATCTGGGTCCTCATTTTACTGACTTTGGAAGGAGGAAGGCTGAGTCAACCTTGAGCTTGGTGAGATTCTAATTGCCAAATTGCAGGCAGCTGGCAGTCAGTAGAAGTAGCATGGAGTACTGCATTCTAACCACTGCGCCACTGTGGCTCTAGATACATTGGAGAGCCACATGGAATGTCGAAGGAATGAGTCAGGATAAATTAGATATTGTCAGACATGAGATGATCAGTTTGTAAATTGATCTCCTTGGTGTCAGTGAGCTGCACTGGTCGGACAATGGTTTTTTCCAGTCTGAGAACTTCAGACTGTCTATTATTCAGGACATGATACTAGGAAAGCAAACGGAGTGGCATTTACTGTAAGCAAGAAACTTGCTAGAACAGTGGAAAGCTTCTCCACTTGTTGATGGTTGGTGCTAGACGTTGTTGTATAATTTTAATCTTAAAATTATACAACAATGTCTAGGTCCAGCCATCAAAAGGGAATTATAAATGTTCAAGGCAGCTTCCAAAGAGGTTGTGGAACTCACAACCATATTGCAAGACTGTGCTGGCTCATAGAAAAATCTTGTGAAAATCATGTTTTTGACTACAAGGAAAGTTTTCAGTTACGTTGATCATGAGAAGCTATGGAGAGCCCTACAAGACCTGGGGGATACCAGCACATTTGGTCAAGTTGGTGCAATCTCTGTACACAAACCAGGAAGCCACTGTGCGAACATCATATGGAGACAGAGATTGGTTTAAGACAGACAAAGGAGTGAAACAAGGTTGCATTCTCTTCCTTTCTTATTCAATCTGTGTACTGAAATAATCATGGGGAAGCTAGATCTTGAAGAATCAAAAATTGGGGGTAAAATTGGTGGAAGAAACTTCAATAATCTTCAATATGCTGACAATACAACTTTCTTCTCATAAACCAAAGAAGGCCTAGAACATCTGATCAAGAAAATCAAGAAACTATTTCTAAACATGAAAAAACCAAGCTCATGACCACTGTAAGGAAGGGAAACATCAAAATAAAAATTGATGGTGAAGGCACAGAATTTGTGAGAAAAATCACTTTCCTAGGACCATAGATGGCTCAAAGTGGTGAATGCAGCACAGAAATAAATTGTCTGATTGCACTGGGTCGCACAGCAATTGTAAACATAAGCCAGATAGGGAAAAGCAGAGAAATCAGCCTGGTGACTACTGGTAACTGTAGGTTAGTTTGCTCTATTGTGTTCCCTGTGGTTACCTATGGTTGTGAAAGTTGGACCTTGAAAAAGCAAGAGAGGAAGAAAATTGATTCGTTTGAGCTGTGCTGCTAGAGAAGGCTCATGAGTGAGTATTCCTTGGTCAGCAAAGTTGACTAACAAACAAGTACTGGAACACATAACACCACACATGTCACTAGAAGGCAAAATCAAGAAGCTGCATCTCACTTCCTTTGGCCATGTCATGCAGGGGAATTCACTGGAGAAAGCAATTATATTTGGAAGAGTTAGCAGTAAAAGGAAACAAGGAAGTGCATGGTGGTTGGACAGTATCAGAGCTGACTTCAGCCAGAGCATAGAAAAATTCAAAGAAATAGTGCAAAATCAGAAGATATTCAGAGACCTGGCCCATAGAATCGTCAAGAGTCAGACACAACTGAGTAGATAACATCATCATCATCATCATTATGAAGAGGCTACAAACTAAGATTTGGGTCAATAACTTTATTGTTGTGAATATTTTCAATAAAAACTGTACAGAGGAATTGTGTTATCTGTTACCATCACTAATTTGAACTCACAAACATTACCCTTCTTATTAAATGCTGATATCTAGAAATACTATACTTTTGTCTCAGAACTGAGTCTGGCTAGGACTGATCTTATATCTTATAATATTATATTATAAGATAAGTTATAAGATAATATTATTATCTTATAGTATCTTATAATATATTATCTTATAATATAATACAGATATAATGTTGTAAGAACAATAATTCAATCTGCAATGTAGCTTTAGGATCAACCAATCCAAGCTTTAGTGGAACAGGAAGAAGTCCTGTTTCAAAGCCATTAGCCAGGTTTTGATACTCAAAAGGCAGATCTTACTTTCAAAACAAAGGTAGCCTTCCAAAGCAAGTTCAGACATATATCTTCCCTTCATTCCTAACAATTATAGATCAAGGACTATAGGGTGTTTAATATAATTTCATACTATCTTTAAAAAAAAATGAAAATATATGCTGTGCGTACTGCATATGCACAATTATTCTATGGCAGGATCAACTACACTCCAAGTTCAGATGGCAAAGTAGTCACAGAGTCTTCTTTCTAAAGAGTCAGTCAGGTGAATCAGTTTTACAAAGACTTTAATTAACAATGAGTTCTTAAAACTCACAATGATATTTCTTCCAGTTAAATATTTTTTGGTAGCACCATTGCATTAAAACTCTAATAAAAGTGTTTTAGAAAAACTCTAAATATAATATGTATGGAAGTTTTCAACAAACCAGGGTATGCTCAGTACTTAAATGTTGTAGAGCACAAATGAACAAACAGAAAGCATCATATTGGGGGAAAAAAAGGGGGGGGATACATTTAAAATCTATTGCTTATAAATTATTTTCTTTTCATTTATCTTCATTGTTGTATTGGGACTATTAATCAGAAAGATTAATGACATGTTAAAATTGGACAAATCAGATAAGGCAGGAGGAATGCTGTTAATCTCAAAATACATACATTTTCCTTTGAAATATTTCATAGGGTAGTAAACCCTTTGAAGTTCATGACAGCATCTAAGAGTTAAAGAGCAGAGAGTTGGCATGCTTTCACTATTTTTCCTCACCCTAATTGTAAGGCCCAAGTCATTGTAGTCACTTTAGAAGTTATTTACCTCTTCCTCCTCCTTCAGCCTGATACATAACTAAATTATGTGGAAGTTTTGTGACGTGCCCTACTCAAGAGGGGAATGACACCTTTCTGAGCCAATTTGCACAATAGCATTACAATAAAATTATACTTCAGTCAACCTCCAAACAATCATTCTTCAGGGCAACACTAATTTAATTGTTTGTGGAAGATCTACCAGAATGTTTAATTCATGATTTGCATCTGACAACCCTTTATTGCACAGAATGTCCTTCCTTCCTTCCTTCCCTATAATCTTAATTATTTCCAAGACAAGTGCCGATGGTAAAATAACTTCTCCCAGATATGGAAATCAACTATCTGTACTGCTACTTTAAAGATTGAAGGGTTAGATTTTAGTCAAAAGACAGCCCTTTTTGATTTAAAACAAAATTAAGTCAAATTTAGTTTGAGTAGGAAAAAGTCCCCATAAATAGATATTTTATTTTGTTTCAAAAAATGGCCTAATTTATGAGTTTAACTTGTAATTTAAAATTATAGCTACAGTTTTAGTTCATTTGGGAAATCTGAGTCTATGGAATGAACAAAAGTATTTTTTTCTGCTTCCCTTTTTTCTGAGATTTTTTTTTTCTTTCTGTCTAACCTATAAAACCTAATATTTCCTAGAGGTTGCTCATCTAAGAACTAACCATGTCTAATCTTGCTAAGCTTTTGACAAAGATTTGCAGCCAGCATCCAGATAAACAGGGATTAATACTAGAAAAACAACTGAGCAGAAAACACTACCTTAAATCAAGCAACTACCAAGGGGAAAAAAAGAACACATCACCACCAGCACTGGTAGATCAAGCTCCTATATAGTCGGGTAATGAAACATCCACAAGCAAACAACAAAACTCAGAGAGCACCAAGGACTACACAGTTCATTCCTGAACTACATATACAGTATTCTCTTCTACTGAATTTTTGAGATTAGTAAAGACTGTTTAGATGTTATTACTTAGCTGATCCGGTTTCCATAGTTCTCCCACTTCAAATCCATGCTTGTAACTCATTAAAAATAAACCTAAAGAAAAACCTGGGCACATTTCTGATAAAAGCATAGTCATTTCAAAAAGCCAGGAAGAAATTTAAAATAGCGACAAGTTAGGAATAGGTTGTAATCAGAGAAGCTTAAGGAATGGGGAGATTACTTCCTAAAAGTGAAGTTTTCATAACATAGTCATTTTTTTTAATGGTTGGATGAGTGCATCATTATTAAATTCTGTGCATGTTGATAGAAATTTAGAGGAGCTAGTTCAAAGCAACATAAGTTGGTAAGAAATATATTTTACATATTATATAGTTTTAAACGTTTTAAAAGAAGCAACCCATTTAGCTAGATTCAGGTTCACTGACCATCATGTCTACTATGAAGGATCAAAGGCACATTGAATCATTTTTGTACCAAAAGAAAAAAGCATGCAGCAAGATAAAGAGGCTTTACCTATGAAATAAGACTGATTTGACGAGAGTGACAACATCCCGACTGGCATTGTATCCAGCACACACAATGGCGACGTGGATTGTCTAAAAAGACAGAAAAACAAACAGTGAATACAAGGAGAGGAAAGATCATCACAATCTAGCAAAATTAGTGCAGTCTGGTCAGTTTGAGGCTTTTGATGTTTAACACTACCCGATATATTTTTAAAAACTGTAACATCATGGATATGTGAAGTACCAATGACATAATTTCCCTAGAATCTTAAGCCTTGTGCTATCTTTTTATACTATGCAGAAAATATTCACTACATTTTGGTACTAGCTTAGTTAGAAACAAGTTAAATCACCTCCATTTCGAAGGAGGCAGAGGTGTCCACAAGGCACAGTCAAAAAAAAAAAAAATCAAGAGGATAGCTGTGATAGTGTAATTGAAACTGTACTTGGTTTTTAATTGTGTCAGCCACAGTGAAGGGGAAAAAAAATAACTCTTACAGAAAAATCAAATGCCATAATCCTGCATATGTATAGTGCCATTCTACACAATTATTTAAGGAAGTGGTCAACACAGAAGAGCTGCTGATACCAGTTCTGAGAAAAAATAAGCAATATGCAAGATTTCTTGGGTAAATGGGCATCCCTGGCAAAGTGATTGTGAGGAGAACCAGTGCTGAAACTGGCTGCTGCAAGAATATTGTTCAGCCTCAAATCTGCTTATAACTCAAGACTTTGCACTTCCTGTCTCTTCTCAATCTCCAAGGAAAAATCCCAATAAATTTCTCATTCTCATCTCCTTTAGGACCATTGTCTTGTTATACAGCTCTATGAGCCTTCATATCTTGTTGGGATGATTTCCTTCATTTAAAGCTCAATTTACCATTTAAAGCTAAAGGCGGCATTCAAAGAGACTATTGTTTATTTTAACTTCGCAGAAGCAGACCTGTGAGGCAGATCTGTTGCTGAGACATTGTGACAAACCCCAAGCTTCAACGTCCAACGGAGGACTTGAACCTGGTACTTTCTATCTGACTCAGCAGTCAATAAAAAATGAGTAGTTCTCAAGTTCAGAGTATCAGTTATGTGGACAGAGTGTTTTTTACTCAAAGTAATCCTCATCAAAACCAATTCTTCCCTGTGTGTTTATGCTGCTACTTTGTAAATAAAGTGTGGATTTACAGGAAGGTTTCTAGCCAAAATTACAGCAATATAATCTTTTATAAATTTGACATAATTATTGAATAAATTGGTATCTTCTCTTGCACCTAGCTATTACATTTGCAATTCCAATGTATTGCCTTAGTGAGCAATTTATTGGTAAAAGATATTATAATCTCAAAGGCCATTTTATCTATACAACTTTTTAACAGTCATTCCCTTGTCCAAAACTAGTTGTACTCCCATGAATCTTTGGGTCCTGAGCCACCTATCCAGGTGGCATTTAAGTTTAATAAATAATAACAATAGTAATTAACATCAATACATTTCATCTTGAACATAAGAAAACACGGGAGTTTGCGAACAGACTTTTTACTTTTTAGGAAAAAAAATTAAAAATCAAATCTGCAAAAAAGTGCAGAAAACACAATGTGCATTCTAAGCCAACAAGTAGTTCGTAACAGGAAAACAACACCCACTTCTAGGTTATTTTAAAGATGTTCTACAAGAAGACCCCTCATTAAACTGAGAATAACTTTTAATTACAGGTAGTCCTCACCTTACAACCATAATGGAGCTTGCCCACTACAATGGGCAAGTTATAGCTCTCGTAAAGCAGGTCACATTATGAACCTGATTTTACAATCTTTGTTAAGCAAATCCATTGTTCTCTATGAAGTGGTTTTATCAAAACCTGGAAATCATGGGCCCATCTAAGTGTGACATGCTTCTTAAAGTTTCGCGCCAGCCAGGGTTACAATCAGTGGTGGGTTGCCTCCGGTTCGGACTGGTTCGCAAGTAAAACCGGCAGGAAGCCCCGCCTACCACCCTGGATGTCGTCATCGGCAATCTGCACATGTGCAGAAGCAAGGCGCGCGATCCCGTTGTGAACCGGTAGTAAAGGTAAGTAGAACCCACCCCTGATTACAATCTGAGCCCTGGAACTGCATACAGCTCCTGAACCTCCAAGAAATATTGAGAATTAGGGTCGCTGTGGTGAGATGAGAATTTAGTTCCTACTGCCTTGAAGTGAGACGAAACGATAGTGTAATGCTAATGCTAAATTCGTTATGTTTGTATGTTGATACAACCCTTCCCCCGCATTCAGAAAAAAGGCAGAAATCCCTGTCCTGCTGAGCTTCTGAGTTCCTAACACAGACTTGGCTATTCTATACTTATGCCCAATCTACCTCTTTCATATAGTCAGTGCAGTGAAGGATCTACCTTCATCAATGCAGGAAGACTTGAATTGCTATGAATAAAGATGATTTTATTTATTTATTTTAATTCAGAAGGATAAATAATGAGCACTTAGTTTTTAAAACCATTCTCTTGACAAGTGTGACTCAGCAAACTCTTGTAGCATAATCCTACTGGAAATAAATGTTGCTGTGTTCAGTAAGACTAATTCCCAGAGAAGTGTACATAGAGCTGCATCATCCAGCATTATAGCAAACAGAGTGAAACATGTTTTTTTTTTTTTAATTAAAAGAAAAACACAAGAAGCTAGGGGATACAGATCTGAAACTATTTATTTGTTTCTGTTGCAGAGTTCAGTTAAATATTTGGAATAGTTTCCTTATTATTTGGGAGGGGGAATCAGGGAAAGATATTTAGCTCCTACCATGTCCATTGCAAAATTACACTAGGAGTTTCCCTGTGTTTGCCTAGAGCAGGGGTTTCAAATTCACATCCTCATAGTGGCGTCACATGATGTATCGGGACTTTTTTCTCCTTCGCTAAACCGGGTGTGGGCGTGGCCAGCGCGTGACACATCCGGCCCACAGGCCAGGAATTTGACAGCCCTTGCCTAGAACTATTTCCAAAGTTTATTTATACTTCTGTTTATTGAGTTATCCTTTGCTTACTTTATGAAGTGTGATCATACTGCATAGATAAGCCTTTGGAATATATCCAAGTTACAGTATAAAAGTGAAATGTGATATATAGAGATGGTAAAGAAGAGTATACTTGATGACATTTTATTATTACTATAATAAAGAGGGCTAGGATGGAACAATGGTTAAAGTGTTGGACTAAAAGCCAGGTGAGTAACTTCAGCTCGGTTATTCATCTTTCAGTCCTAATAAGGGTCAGGCTTTGGGACAAATCAACTGTGAAAACAAAGCTGCAGGGGTGTCTCCTGAGCGTGGTTAAAAAAAAGTCAAGACGTTGGCCATAAAGGCAGGCAACAAATGGGCACAAAATGTTGACACATACAAAAAACAGGTGGAGATTTTAACAGTAATAGAATTGGAAGCGACCTTGGAGATCATCTCATCCAAACCCCTGCTCACGCAGGAGACCTATCCTAGGGATTTGAACCACCGAACTGCCGACCTTTCTGATCGACAAGCACAGCGTATTAAGTCATTGAGCCACCTAGCCTCGGTGACTAGGTGGCTCATTTAATTGCATTGTTGTGACTACTGTCTTGACTTTTTCAACTCCACCCTACAGAGACATTGTATCAAGCGTTGATAGCTTCATAACAAGAACTACGGGAACAAAAGTAGATTGTGTAATCGTGTGGGATAAACACTAAGAGGAAACAAGCATTAACTGTATTACAATCACTTCAATATTATTCAGATTATAAATAATAGTTTAAAAGCTGCTTTCTATTAATTTCTGCCCCCCATTTGTGAAAATTTCATTGTAGGTTACAGACTGACAGTAAAGAACAATGATGGTCCAAAGCTTTTCCAGCACACAGCAGAGCATGGTGCATTTATTTTATAATACTTTTATCTTCTGAGATTTAGAGTCAACAATAGAATTATCAGGAGTTTGGTAGACATGCTATGTATTTCCATAGAACTTAATGGTTTTTATTTAGTGTATTTAATGTATTTAGTATAACATTTTAGGTATCCTATTCCTATACTCCCATTATATTTAAATATTTTTCAACACCAATTAAAATGTACTCTTCATACCACAAGATTCTCTTTAGTACCATATTTATTATGTAACTCTATTTACAGACTGTCACATATGTTTTGTTATGTTAATTATAGATTCTGTCCAGCTTATATTTCTGTAACACTAAACTGGATATTAGTAAACAGATTGCATCTCTTATTCGTAAAACTTTTTTTCCTTAAAGAAGAGATATTTTTATCAAATTTGTGTTCAAATTTGACAATAGCGTCAAGTCAACGTACGTATATCTACATGTCACATGCAAATACCTGAAGGTTACAGCATGTGACTTAATAATACAACTGTAATATCCTTGAGAGACAAGGAGAGGAAGAGCCACAAGGGCAACTGTCAGATAAGAGAAATCTCAGCCCACAGAAGAAATGGGACAATAAAAATGGGACATGGAAATCTTCTCAGAAGGTACCTTCCCTGGACTCCTGGAAAATAATGGCAAGGAGAGAGACTTGTGCTTTCAGAATTACAAGATTCTGTTACTGTAAAAAGGTAAAGGTAAAGGTTCCCATCGCACATATGTGCTAGTCGTTCTCAACTCTAGGGGCGGTGCTCATCTCAGTTTCAAAGCCGAAAAGCCAGCGCTATCTGAAGACGTCTCTATAGTCATGTGGCCGGCATGACTAAATGCCAAAGGCGTCTGGAACACTGTTACCTTCCCACCAAAGGTGATCCCTATTTTTCTACTTGCATTTTTCACGTGCTTTTGAACTGCTAGGTTGGCAGAAGCTGGGACAAGTAATGGGAGCTCACCCTGTTATGCGACACTAGGGATTTGAACCGCTGAACTGCTGACCTTTCGATCAACAAGCTTAGTGTCTTAGCCAATGAGCCACCGCTGTAACCTTATAATAAAGATGGCATTGGTTTCTTGTCTGCTTGAAAGGGTAGTCTCTCTCTCTCTCTCAGGCCAATTCATCACATGTTGGCTGTTATTGTGGAGAAAATACAAGGAGGAAGGAGTACTGGTATGTTTGCCTCCTTGAGTTGTTCATAAAAAAAATCTAAAAAAGAAAAAAAACATGTTTGCCACCATATTGAAGTCAATAGCCATATTGATTTTATTAAATGTGCCCATCTTAAACTAGACCCATGGGTTTTCTGTTAAATATGTCTTTTCTTTCCCTGTTTGTAGCAGGTAACAAACAAAGTGAGCAGATGATTCCATCCCTATCATGGACTTAATTTTTTCTTTGCTACAGTCATGGTCAAGATTCAAAAGCTAGCGGATACTATTCCAATCGCATCACGTTGATTCACTTTTAGAAACATGGCTTAGCTAGGAAATCATCTGCCTACCTCACACTTCTCCACTGCTGGCTGTTGTCCACATTCAGAGCTGTTCCCTGCCACAATGCCAGCCCGGAGGCTCTCACTGTCCCCAGTCCCTTCCTCCATGGAGTAAGTTTTTGAGTGATTGCCTCGTCGGTGAGACATGCCCCGGTTCTGGACCAGACTGAGCTGCTTGCGTAGTGCACGGTTTTCCTCTTCCACTTCTCGCATGCGAACTTCCAAGTTTTCTCTTTCACGTTGACTTGTGGCTGTGTAATGAGGGCTGTGGGGCTGGGATTCAATTGGAGACAATGACACTGGCTTTCCATCTGTAGTGAAAAAAACAAAACAGAAATTGTCCCCAATGGAATTAAAATGTCAAAACTCTGCAAAAACATCAAGATTAGTTTTTACTCCAATCAATCCTGAGACCTCAATAAACTGTGCATATGGTTAATATACAAAGGATCCTTATAATGTAAAGACAGTCTACAATCAAGCCAAGACTCAAAATCTTAGCTGGGCTCTACAAGCAGTCAGATGGACAGATAAAGCTTGCAAAGACCCAGCATCCTCCATTTTGTGGCAAAAGTCCTAGTTGGCGAAACCTTTGGAGATGATTTTTTTCCCATCCAGTTCAAGGGGAAAAGTTGTAGAAAAAAATATTCCCTTGCTTGCTCCCGTTCCTCTAGTCTTCAGCCTGGAGTTAAGTAAGGTTTTTAAAAGGAATGGAGATTGGACAGCGTAGGTGGGGAATTTAGTTTTTGCCCTATTTTTGGGATGTGTATATGTAGGAATCAGAATTCTATGAACAACTGTTCCTAGCATACTGAACAAACTAATTTTGCTGTATGTTTTTCTACTTTCCATTTGAATAGATCAATAATTGCATTCTTCCAATTAGGCAGTAATATTCACACACATTAAGCAAGTTGCACAGATACTTCATAAACAAACCGTATTGATATATGTATATTTCTCCAGTTACTTCAATTACAGTTGCAGCCTTAGCATTTTTTGACATTCCTGCACCATTTCAGCTCCACTCTTAATATATTTGTATCCTTCACACACATACACCTCTAAAATACTCCTTCCAAAATTCTCTTATTTAAGTTACATCCTGACTGTTTTATTACTTTTACTTTTTATCTCATTCACTGGACTGGTCTTGTTTAGTCATTGCACTCACTTTCAAGCCATTACATGTTTTTTCCCCGTTTCTTTCATTCCAAACTTTGTGATCTTTTTATCTATATTCTTTGATCTTTTCCACTTATACAAATATTGCTGCATTTGTTTATTTATTTATTGCAGGAATCACGTGCATTCCTCTTTATTTGCAGCCTCTTTTATCTTGTCCCATTCTTTTTTATCCAATATATCTAATATAAAGACTTGCAAATAGAAGTAGAAAGCAAAAGACAGCAAAGATAATACCAACAGTTACAGGTGTTTTGGATGCAATCTTAAAACATCTGGAGGACCCTTTGAACATTTTCAGCACTGACAAAATCACCATTGCAAAAGGCAGCTTTACTTGAAACAGTTTACATTCTGTGAGGATACCTTTAACACCATCAAACAACATATCCTTATTGTAGGTCCTTGGGAACGATTCAATATATGGATAAAAATGCCAAAAATCCAGTCTAAACATTTGGTTGTGTGAGCAAACATACTAATGTGATTTTTATTATTGCAAGTGGTAAACTTCATATATTATTTTCTATAGAAGTTTTATATACATACACATTCAGTGAAGGGGAAAAGAGCAGTGCTATTGGTGTATTTTTCTTCTTTTAAACTTTCTGTTTTGCTCCAAAGTTATGCAGTACAGAGAAACAGCAGGCATTCCATATTATCTTTGGCTTGATTTATGGCAGGGGTAGAAATATGCAACCTGCAGGTCACAGGCAAAACCATTTTCTTTGAAAACCTATACTCTCATACATTTATTTTTTGATTCCCTTGCCTTTATTTTTATCATCTGTCTGTGCACTTTTCTTTCTCTCTCTTTTATGATTTCTAAAGTTGCTCCATAATGTCTAAATAACATCTTTATCCTGAAATAAATAAATAAATAAACCACCACTTTATCCTGCAGTGAAGCTGATCGCCTTTCCGTGCAAACAAAATTAATCTCAGTCTCTTAGTGTATGCAAATTCCATATAGCTTTATTATACTGAGTCAAAGTATTTGCTGCTTTGTGACAATATATAAACCTCAAATTCTTTATGTGGCTGAGCAGTGCAGGAAAGATAAAACCTTTCTGGGTAAAATTCTTCATTAGCAGAAAAAGAGCTAAAGGATGCTAGGGGCAAGTTTTCACAGCTTGCATGTGGGAAGACTTTTTAACTATGGGGCATCCAATCACAAGCAAGTATTTCCTTGGTAGAATATCAGGCTACAGTCACAAAGACTTTATAAAAGTAAATGGTTGATATTCTGGATTTATTTCATTTATTCCTTCATTAATTCAGTTTTAGTGACTTCAACCAACGCCGGGTTGCTGACATCAGTAAGACCAGTGGTGGGTTGCTACTGGTTTGCCCTGAATCAGGCGAACCGGTAGCGGTGGCGGTGGGAGTCTCTGTGCATGCACAGAAGCATCGTGTGCACACGTGAGCGCGTGCACGCCCACCAGTGAACTGGTAGCGACCAAAATTGAAACCTACTACTGAGTAAGACTAACATAAAAACAACAAAATGCAACAAATGAATTGCAACAATAACAAAAATAGGTACAAAATAATTACAAGATGGCAATCCAAGTAACAAAGCATATATAAAATAAATCCTATTTATCTGGTCAGCACATATATTTCATGTAATCAGATGGAAGGGAACAAATCACAAAAGAATCTGAAAATAACGAAGCTAAAATGAGGCTTGTCTTCTAAACTTCTTTCAAAGTCTGAAGAAAAATATACTGATTAAGTACAGGCATATGCCTGATATGTATAATATGCAAGAGAGGGCAGAAGACAGAGGTGGCTTTCATTATCCATGATCTCATTTCAATGACTGTTAAACAGAGACCTGATCCCAAGAAATTCAGTAAATGTTTTTATCTATTTGTAATTTGGGACTTCAATTTTTGTTTCTTTATATGAGTACTAAATGGCAGTTTTTTAATCCGTGATTTTCTTCTGGCAGTCTGTTAAAACCTAGTTATGTCAACAGGCTTGAGGGTTTCACAGAAATTGAGATTTAATGAGGTGGCTACATTGCATGCAGCATCTAATGCTCTCCCTAGCACTTCTGGTTTTGTTTTTTTTTTTTAATTTGATTTATATGCTGCCCTTCTCCGAAGACTCAGGGCGGCTTACAATGTGCTCAGTTTTTATAATAATAATATTAATATTGTACTTATAGAGCAAGGGTGTCAAACTTGATTTCATTGAGGGCCTCATTAGGGTTGTGTTTGACCTCATGTGGCCGGGTAAACATGGCCAGGATGGGTGTGGCCAGCTCAACATCACTTGTGTCATGACGGCCTCCTGCAGAGCTCAGTTTTCGCTGGCAGAGGGCTGCAGGAGCCCATTGCGGCTGAAAACGGAGCTCAGGAGAGCCGTGCATGCATCCCCAAGCTCCATTTTCGCTGGCAGAGGCACCACGAACTGGTCCTTTTGCAGGGCACCTCATGGGCTGGATCCGGCCCACGGGCCTTGAGTTTGACACCTCTGTTATAGAGTGTTTTTGTAATTATTTTTAGGATTTTATTGCATGCAAACCAGAGGCATATAAATGAATGAATGAAGTTATGTTGTTATTTAAAGGATTTTATTCTGCATGGTTTATATTCCATGGTTGTGAAGCAGGAACAGGATCCCCATGTATAATAAGGGCCGCGTCACCCATTCCTCAACGTTTATATACAGAAAGAGGAGTGGTGGCTTCCCTTCACTAAATCTGTTGAAGTAAGGGCCTGGTCAAGGGGCAGTTCAATTTATCTCTCAATGACTTAAGAGAGTCTTCTATTTTTATCCATTGACAATAGAAATATGATTATTGACCAGTGAAAGTTCAACAAAACATAATTTAGAGCAGTAGGTCAAAATTTCATTTTCTGGAATGCACCTTTTGTTGGCAACCAGAAGCTAGCTTGAACCAATTGCTAAGATGGAAGGATTTCCGCTAAGTATTGTCTGTATCTTCCCTCAGCAATCATGAGACATGCTAAGAGTGTCCTTTCCATAACTAACAAAAATGTTCACACCCTACACTAAATTTATAAATCACTCTGACGTAGCATCAGCTGGAACTACAGAATGCTGCCTGATGAGGAATGTTGATAGCTGCCTATAGAGCTGCTAAATGAAGCCAAGCTATTTTCTCCAGATGTCTCCACTGCAAACGAGGCATCCTTTAATTCTAATATGAGTAAACCACTGAAAGAAAGAAAGAAAAACTGTTGCAAATTAAAGAAAGGAAGCTGGAGACAACGTGACCTTGAGAGGGTTATGTGGACTGTGCAGCTCCCATATATAGAGGTCCTAGTCTCCTTGTCTCTATCTAAAGCATAACTGTAACAGAGAAATGTCAGATGGTATGACAACACTTACCTCTATAATTGGGATTAAGAACAGTGTGTTCATTCAGCACATATCATATTAACCACCCAAAATCTATTTTTGGTTGCTACAAAATCCAGCCCCACTTCAGCAAAGTAATTAAGAAACGTTATGATTTGAAAAACAGAAATGAAGAAACATGGAATGTACTGAAGCCAAAGACATTTTAAGAAAGGCATGTTAACGAAACAGCACCTTGGGTGCGAACTATTTTAGCTCTGGCCATTCTCCAAGCTCAAGCTGTTTCGCACACACAGTATTGCCCCACACCTATGATTAAATAACACTACTGTGTGTGTGGATCAGTGTGTGACAAAATCATTTGCATACACACACAGTTTCTGAATTATAGTCTGCCTTGCCAAAATGGCAAAACATGAGAAGTGACTCATACAGAATAAAACTACATGAATATATGTAATAGATATGTTTGTATTTGTAATATACATTTATGAGCCACATAGGCCTATGTAGCATAAATCTATGTAAATCTTTTAAATAAATATTTTTTAAAAAATATCACTGCCTTGGTTTTTGAATATCCAAACTTAAATTGTTTGTAAAATTCTTAATCTTCAACTCCAACTTTTGATATACCCTGTATATTCTGTCATAGATTTCATGAATGCTAATGGCTGCTATCCTATTCTGGAAAATTTAATCTGGGCTCATCAGAGTAAATATCATTGCTTCTTTCTTTCTAGAACTCCTATATTCTCAGATTTTCTTCTGAGAGTATTTCCCTCCCAAA